GGAGCTCAGCAGCTGTGTACCCTTCAGGTGCTGGGTGGAGGACACTGGTACCAGCAAGAGTACAATCACCCCTCTCCCTTGTTGCTAAACTACACAGGGCTTCCTTGGCCTTGAGGAAGGCTGGCGCTGTGCTGCAGTAGGAGATAGAAGATGTATTTATACAGATAGGATAACAGGCAGGACCCTGGTCAGAAATCTGTGTAGAACCTTTCCTCCCTTTCCTCTGGTATTTTTAATCTGTCTCCCAAGGAACTGCTGCTTGCTGTACTCAGTACCATCCTGGAGTGTTTGTGAATAAATGTGTTGTTTCATTTTCTCTGAATGGACACCATTTGGGGCTGGATCCTTTTTCTCCTGTTGGCACTGAAGAAGCTGCAGTTAGAGAATTCACAGCCACAGAATGAAAGGGGCAGTTACTATCTCAGCTTCATGATGTCATTTCAGAATGAAGGAAATAGTAGGCTTTCAGCTTGCACTAGCTTATGTTAATTATGCAAATACATGCACTCTGAGAACCCTCATGCATGGTTTTACTATCTTCAGAGGTTGACTTCTTTCAATAGAGCATCAGGAAAACCATATAAGTCTCAGCTCATTGCTAAAGTGTAGCAAAATGTACTGAACCTTAGTGGTTATCTAGGGTATTTTTGTTCTTTTTTTTTTTTTCTCCCTCAAAATATGCCTCTAGTACTGTGGCCTAGGGGGTCATTTCACAAAGATGAGCACCTGGGTCCCACTGCCCTGACACCTGGTCTCTGATTTCAGCACAGTAACTATAGTTCTTCCAGTTCTGTTCAATGGAGTAATAAGATCTCTGACGTTTGTTGGTCTGAAAGATTAAAACAAGTGACAAGCAGCAGCTTTTGCAGCTCTACCCTTGCCAGCCCTTCAGACAATCCCAGAATTTATTATCCAGCTACATGGCTTTTTGGGCGCTTTTGGTTCGAGCAGCAAAACACACTGTGTCCAAGGAGCTGTGCTGGCAGCAACCTCCCTTTCTGCCTCCACCTATCAGTTTCTGGGATCATCCTCATTTGGGCATCCTGTCTGTCACAGTTACCCTAGAGCACTGTCCTTTGGTTTGGCCTGCACTGACCTCCCCGCATTGTCCTCTTTGCTTGACTGGTGATCACTGAAACCAGTGTCTGGCCCTTTGTTCTCGTGGTCTCTATCTCTTGGCACATGTAGACAGCTCTGGGTGGTTAATTCACACCCACTCCAAAATCTGTGTGGTTTTGCTCATCATTTGCTGTCCTCCACCATAACCAAATTAATTCTATGCTCATTAAGCCACACAATCATAGAGTATCTCAAGTTGGAAGAGACCCACAAGGATCATCGAGTCCAACTCCCTGCTCCTCACAGCATAGTGGGGATTTGCACCGGATGAGAAATTCCATGCCAATGAAGCTTACTCCTGCAGTTTCTGGGGCAGAGGAGATTTCATTTCATGTGGCAGCTTGTGAGCATAGTTTGAGAGGGCTGAGCAGGGTCAGGGATCTGTGTCCGGAATGCACCTGGGGATCTGTGGTCAAAGAGCTGTGTCCAGATGTTTGTCCAGGTAGGCTGGAGACAGAAGCCTTCAGGAGCCTGAGAAGGATATTCCTCCTACTGGTAAATGTAATTAAGGGATGTTGCAGTGGTGTTTCCAGGCATGCATTTCCCTGTGGTAGGCCTCTAGTAGGGACAAATATCTGGCACTGACCTGAGTAGCGTGCTCAGCGTGCTTACTGTCACTGTGTCTGCAGTCAGTTGTGCCGCTGCTCGTTTCTGTTGCATGTAATTTTTGTTAGTGAGAAGGACACCCCAGTGAGTGTGTTTAAATCCTTTGTCTGTGCAGCTGTTCTGCAGGCCTGCATAGAGGAAGCAGCCAGCCAAGGCTCCTCGGCCTGATGAGCACTTGGATTCAAAGGGAGGTGGGGATGATGGGTGTCCCCTCAGCTGGACACAGCCCCCGTTGGCTCTGTCACGTACAGGGCAGCAGCCCGGGTACACGCAGGGAGAGGGGTCCTGGGTCCCTCTGCTGCTGTCTCACTTGCAGTTTGTAGGCCAGCCTGGAGTTTGTGTTCTGGTCTGCTCCAACTTTGAATTAAGTCAAAGAGCAGTTTGAGGTTTTGGTGTGCATGTGTGTGCAGTGCCTCGGTGCCTCTGCAAGCAGCCAGTCCTCTGGCTGTGCTCCTGAATCCTTCTGAGAACCAAGTGCTGCAGCTGAAAAAAGGGCCTCCGCCCAGCAGCAAGCCAGGAGCAAAGCTCTGGAGAACAGCACTGCTCTACAGAGTCACTAAATTGTAGGGAATATCTTGATATTGTCTCATCCTGTCCCACCTGCTCAAGAAGGGTCGGCTAGAGCAGGTTTCCCAGGACTGTGTCCAGCTGGGTTCTGAGTGTCTCTGAGGATGGATACTCCACAGCCTTTCCGTACAGCCTATTCCAGCGCTTGACCACTCTCACTGTAAAAAAAAAACAACAAAAAGTGTTTTCTTGTGGATGAAACTGTATATGTTTTAATTTGTGCTTCTTGCCTCTTGTCCTGTCACTGGTCTCTTAGTAAAGAAGAGTCTGACTTCTCATCTTCATTCCCTCCCATCAGGTATTTATACATATGGATAAGGTCCTTCCCCTCCCCCCCAAGCCTTCTCCTTTCTCTTTTCCAGCCTAAGCAGTCTCTGCACGCTCAGTCTTGCCTCATATGAAAGTGCTTCAGTCCTTTTATCATCTTCACAGCCCTTGACAAGACTCAGTGCTTCACCATTCCTACCTGCCATCTGCCAGCAGCTGCTGGTGCTGCAGCTTGAGCTCTTTCTTTCAAGCAGGAAGGGGACAGCCCCCCGGGGCTGTGAGGTGAATGCTAACCAGCCCAGCTTTGTGTGCCAGAGACAGCTCAGCTGCTGGGCCCCAACCCCAGAGATGGCAAAAGAGCAGCAGGAGTTTCATGCCTGTTGGTGCTGCAGACAGACCCCTCTCCCTGTCAGCTGGCTTTGCCCCTCAAGCCCTGCCCAGCAGCCCTTGGGCTGGCACTGTGTCCTGGTGGGACACAGGTGTCCACCTGCTGGGCAGCAGGGAACACCTCGCTTCACCAGCAGACCGCTGGTGTTGGTTCTGCACACCAGGCTGTGTTCTCCAAGTGATGTGGGTAACAGCTGCCAAAAAAAGTCTTGTCTGGGATGGATAGGCAGCAAGGTGGCAGGAGCCTGGGGAATGGCACAAGTTTCACTTTGTCCCAGACCTACCATTGAAAGACGGGAGCAGCTTTATTCTGTTCTGGATGCTCTGAGCAGCGTGTGAGTGGAGGTCCTGGTGTGGGGTGAGCTGCGTGAAAGCTGCACAAGGCAACCAGAGAGGAAAGGAGGTACTTGTGTTCACTGCTGGGATCCAGGAAATGCCGAGGAGTCAGCAATGCCTGGTGTCCCCCTGCCACCCTCCCGCCCTGCCAGCCTATCCCACCCACACCCCCCACCCCACATCCCACATCAGGTGGCAGAAATTCCACTGGATTCAGAGCAAACATTTCCTTTGCACAGTGATGGCTTTGTTTTATTCTTTATTTGTTTTATTTGTTTTTTTCTGCAGGGACTATTTTTAGACAAATGGAAAGAACACAAGTTCAGAAGGCAGCTAGAGATGCAGAGTATTAAATAGTTCTGCTGAGAGTTTAAAGCCACTCTCATTCTGGACTGAAAGTTGCTTTCTGGGCATATCTGTCTGGTTTATCATGAATTTCTGGCAGCCAGAGTAAAACATCCGATTAAACTAAGTTTTATTAAAACTATATTGACTATTGGCCTTTCCCCAGTTTATTTCTCTTTGTGTCCTCTTGGTGTCTTACTTTGAAATACCAGTTTGATCAAACTGATTTAGAAGCATTGAGATCTGCCTAGAAAGAGAGCTGATAGAAAGATGTGGAATAGAGAGGATGGAAAGAACAACATTGTCAGAGAGCAACCATTGTCTGGAGTATAAAAAATAGAAATAGATGTTCAATTTCAGTGAAGATCTATGGCCCTCCAGCCCATATCAGGAGTTAAAGCCTATGAAAGATTTAAACCCTATAAATTGTACATTCCAGCAGTTAAGTTCTAAGTGCCTGGCTTGTAGAGTGGATGTAATGTCCAGAGGGAGGTATTTGCAAAGACCAGAATCCAAAGCACTATGTGCTGCTGCAATGCCAAGGGAAGGGCTGCAGGAAGGTCCCCACAATGCCCAGTGTCCCAGAGCTGCTGGGGCTGCAGCCCTCAGGCACCACCACGGGTCTGTCTAGTGAAGCAGGAGGGCCTGGGCATTGTGTCAGTATTTTGCCAGATATTGTGTCATGCCCATGACAAGGTGAGCACACAAACTGCTTTTTTTGCACTACCAGGTTCTTGGTTCCTCTTCTTTGGCTCTTCCTTTTTTGCCTAAATGTATGTATAAAGCAGAGTCTTGTCTGGTTGCCTGTGTGTGATTCCTGCAGGAGGGAGACAGGACAACAGGCATTCTTATCCTCTCAGTGGTTCCCATAGCAGCAGTTTACCTTCAGGAGTGCACATTTGGATTAAAGTAAAACACTTTGTAAGAGAAAAAAATGAAGAATGATGAGAGATTCATGACTAGTGCTGCAGCACTCTGCTGAAGGGTATGTTGGCACACACGGGCTGGCTCACAAAGCCCTGTGGTGACTCAGGGCTGGACAAAATCCAGAGGTACCTCTCCATGGTAGCTGTCAGGAGGGTATAATTTGTGTGTGCTGGTGTTGATGGGGCACGGCTGCCTGGCACAACTGGGCAGCTTGATATACCTGGCACTGTGAACTTCGGAACACGTTGGACTTGAGTTGCAAATTGTACTGATTCAGAACTAGGATTTTTTCCTTGTTACTGAAGAGAGTTTCCCATGTTCTGTGAGACCCAGGTATTAAATCAGGTCTAGAATGCAACTTGAAGCCTTGCAATCAAGCCCATGCTGAAGGCAGATGCTGTCTGATCAGCTTCTCCCACCCTGTCTGATCCCTTCCCTCTCCCCAGGCCAAAGAACCCTCCATCACCGGAGCGATACCCTGGAGACAGTGATCCTGGTGAACCCCAATGTGGACAGCATTGTGGCTGAGGTAAGGACCAGATGCCAGCGTGTTGTCTCCACGTCAGTTCTCCTGCCCTTGCTTGACATAGAGGTCATGATCACCACCTTTTGCACCTTCTGGTGCATTTGAGAATGCTGCCAGTCTCTGCAGGACGTGAAGTGCCATGGGGTTCTGGTCTTGCCAACCAGATAGATGCAGTAACCAGGACTCTCTGGCAGAATTTATTGCTCGATAAAGAAGCACACGGGGTGTATGGTGTCTTGTATACTCGTCCTTTAGGAATGAGCTGCTTCCTGGAAGAGTTAGTGCCTTAGAATTGCCTGATTTTTAGGGAGGGCTTCTGAACCGTGCACATTCTGGTTTTATGGGAGTCTAAACGTGCTGACCTCTCACATGGCAGTGTAACACCAGACATTCTCTTACCATTGGCCAACTTCCTCTATGTGGATGATGTTGTGACATGAAGCTGTGCCTGGCAGGCAGTAGCAGTGTCTTCCCTCTTCAGTAACCCCACTTGTATGTGGAAAACAGATGTTTTGGCTGTTTGTGAATAATGCATAAGAATCACCTGTCCGTGTGGTTGAGTTTCTGGGTGCTGGCGAGGGGTACAGATAACTTAGTCACTGCAGCACTCTGTCTCATGGTGACAGGTCCGCTCACTGGTGTGTGATTCTTCAGCCCACAAACTACTGATCTTCTGTGGTCGGAGCTCAGACCAGGAAGGAGACTTGATCCTGCAGACGGGGACCTTCACTTACCAGAAGTTTGCTGAGATACTGTCTGACCCAGAGGTGGGTGTGATTAGCCAGGCAGTGTGTGCCCTCCTGCGCTGCTCCTTCGGGTGTCAGGGCTGCAGGGGAACAGACCTGAGATAAGCGAAAACGGCACCTTTGAGTAAGGGGTGCTATAGTCTTGGGCATTTTACTTTACCTCCCTGGCTCAAGCTTTCCAAGATGGCAGGCATGGATGATTCCACTTTCAAATGCTCAGCTTAAAATAACCTTCCAGACTGGCTGTGCAGTGGGCAGACACAGTTTCTTAAAGCAGGTCTTAAAGTACCTCTGGGCAGCTTACAAAAAACTGAGGCTGTCAAAACCCTGGTGAATGTGGTTATTTCTCTTCATCTCGCAGTCAGTCCTGCAAGCATAAGCTGTCCACAGGGTTCAGTGTTCAATAGGGGTGTGTAAAGATGATGAGGGGTGACTACATGATGATAAAATAACTACAGATGTCATTATTTAATTGTAGAATTGCAGAACCGTTCAGATTGGGAGGGGACTTGAGAGGTCTGTAGCCCACCCTCCTGCACAGAGCAAGGTCAGCACTGAATTTAGACTGCTTCTTTTGAGCCCAAGCCAGGGACTAATATGCCAGGCTAAATAGGAATAAGTAAGGGAAGAGGACAAGGTGGTTCCTGCTTTTGTTTTCTTTCCTGAGCTCTCTTCACTGTGCACTCCCAGCAGCCAGGAAACAAAACAGCTCATCAGCATTAACAGTTTCAAAGAGAGCCGAACATGGCCCCACACATCTATTTGCAACAGGCTTTTGGACTATTAAATCTATCCCCAGTGTCAGTAAAGTGCTCATGGCATCTTCAGTATTTCTGCATTAACTGACTTCTTTATTTAAGTGCTGCATTCATCTCAGAGCTCTATTGGACCTTTATTTGTCTCTGCTTGTCTCATTAGGTCACCCAGATTCTTAGCAACGCTGATTCAGATACCAAGGCCTCCCTAACTGTGTCGTGCTTGGGAGAAGGAGACTGGAGCAACCTTGGACATCCTCGATTTCAGGAAATTATTAATCTGAAACTGAATCCTGATCCAGTTTTGCCAGAAATGGATGGGGTGTCTGAGTTTGCAGAATATGTCTCTGAGACAGTTGACGTGCCATCTCCATTTGACCTCCTAGAGCCACCCACCTCAGGGGGCTTTTTGAAACTTTCTAAACCTTGCTGCTACATATTCCCTGGAGGAAGAGGTGATTCTGCTCTCTTTGCTGTCAATGGGTTTAACATCCTTGTGGATGGTGGCTCGGACAGGAAATCTTGCTTCTGGAAGCTGGTGAGACACCTGGATAGGATTGACTCAATCCTGCTCACCCACATTGGTGCGGACAACCTGCCTGGCATCAATGGGCTGCTGCAGAGGAAAGTTGCTGAGCAAGAGGAGGAACAATCCCAGGGCTCTACCAACTACAGTGACTGGATGAAGAACCTGATTTCACCTGAGCTAGGGGTGGTTTTTTTTAATGTTCCTGAAAAACTGAAGATGCCTGAATCATCCATGAAAGTGAAGCGGAGCATCGAGGAAGCTTGTCTGACACTGCAGTATCTCAACAGACTGGGCATTAGAGCAGAGCCTCTCTACAGGGTGGTCAGCAGCACCATTGAGCCTATCACACTCTTCCACAAAATGGGAGTGGGTAAGCTGGACATGTATATACTGAATCCTGTCAAGGATAGTAAAGAAATGCAGTTTCTCATGCAGAAATGGGCTGGTAATAGTAAAGCAAAGACTGGCATAATTCTTGCAAATGGGAAAGAAGGTGAAATTTCTGTTCCCTATCTCACATCCATCACAGCCCTAGTGGTGTGGCTGCCAGCTAGCCCAACAGAGAAAATTGTAAGGGTTTTGTTTCCTGGAAATGCTCCTCAAAATAAGATACTGGAAGGTCTTGAGAAACTCAAGCACCTGGATTTTCTGAGGTACCCAGTGGCTACTCAGAAGGATATCACTTCTGGAATAGCTCCACCTGTGCTGAAGCAGACCAAAATTAAACAAAGAACTGACAGTAAAGAGAGTCTTAAGTCTTCCCCCAAGCCATCTGTGACAAAGCAAACAAAGAAAGAAGAGGCAGTTGAGGAGGGGGTTAAGGAGGTAAAACCAGAAGTCATAAAGGATGCTAAAATTGAGAAAAAAGTTAAAGAACAGTCAGAGAAAATTCCTGAGAAACCAGTTAAGCATGAAAAGATAAAGACAGAAACTAGTGATACTCTCAAAGCTGAGAAAAGAAAATTGGCAAAAGACAAGGCTGGAAAAAAGCATCTCAAAGAGAAAGTATCCAAACTGGAAGAGAAGAAAGACAAAGAAAAGAAGGAGATTAAGAAGGAGAAAAAGGACCTTAAAAAAGATGATGGAAAGAAAGAGGAAAAAAAAGATTCAAAGAAAGAGGATAAAAAGAAAGAAACCAAACCAGAGCCCAAAAAAATTTCTAAACCAGACTTAAAACCATTTACCCCAGAAGTAAGAAAAACATTATACAAGGCAAAAGTTCCAGGCAGACTCAAAACCGAGAAGATTAAAGTCAAACCTGAAAAGGAAGTTCCTGCT